CGGCGACGGAACTTCGACTCGTAAAATATGGTTGTTTTACGTTAAAAATAGGACTATTTTAAGGTGATTTCAATGGAGTTTTTGGTCGGTTTAAAGGTGTGTTTAATGGCTGAAATTTCAGCTGGTTCTCATGGTAGTTTAGGGGTGAAGAAGATGAGGAGTTAATGAGAAAGGAAGGGAATTGCGGCTACTTTTTTTGTGTGTTAGCTCTCAGGCCTTCTTCCCCTTCTGAATGTGTTTTTCTCTTTTTATACATTACTCCATGTGTTTTTAACGGTGAGATGGATAACTGAATGGGAAATTATGGAGATCGTGCACTGTGTGCGCATATGACGTGAGGGAGTGGAGGTAAATTGTGAGAGAGTCAGTTTTTACAAAGTGACGTGATGGTAAGGGAATTGTTAGGGGATAATGGCTGATAGTTTGACACATATTTTATTTTAATATTATTTTATTACTTTTTATTTAAAGAAAGGTAAAGTAAAATGCATAAATAAAAATGTTAACCCACTTCTTTTAGACAAAGAAAAAATATAAATAAACTAAATTAAATTTGTATACACTATAATTTGAATGATACTAAGCAAAATATATAAAGTCACTAGCTTACTAGTAAAAAAAGAAAACCAAAATATATATTATTTTTTTTTTTGTAAATTTTCTTTTTCCCCTTAAAAATAAAAAATAAAATTTACTATAAGTATATGAACATTTTTTTTTCTAATTTTAAGGTTTTTTTCCAAAAATAAAACCTATTAAAAATAAGATAAAATTTTAAAATATGATTATTAGACCTAAAAGAAATATTTACGCTAAAAATGTATAAAATATGGGTTTGGTACAAAATTAGTTGTTCACAATTTGGGTTAAGAAAGTGTACTTGAAAGAATTAAAAAAAGACCGGGATGTTAAAAAACTTAGCTCATAGTAATAATATAAAACAAGAAAAGAGACAAGAATGTAGGGAGCAAGAGTGAAGAGATTTTTATTTCTTCCATGTATTCAAGTGTGTACAATGTGGTGCCAAAACCCTCTATTTATAGGATTACCACTACAAGAAAATACCTTTTTTCCGACAACAAATTCCGACTACAAAATGTCAGTCGCAATTTTCCGACTACTGTAGTCGGAAATCTCATATTTATTTTTTAATTTATTTTTAAGAATTATTCCGAATATTTTTTCGACTAATATAATTAAAAAGTTTACCACTTCTGACCAAGTGGTCCCGATAGTTGTAGTCGGAATTTTTTAATTAAAAAAATTAAATAATATATAGTTTCCGACTACAGTAGTCGGAAACGTTAACTTATTTTCCGCTAACCCTTATTTTCTAATTCTTTTTTCCCACAATTTCTCTCTTACTCGGTCGTCTCTTTCTCTATATCTCCTCGCCTCTCTCTCAACGGCGCCGGCAAAATCGGCGACGGGGACTTCATCAGGTACGCGCTCTCTCTCTCTTTCCCGTCTAATCTTCGGCCAAGACTAGGGTCTCGATTTTACTATGCAAAATCAACGGCTCCACTAGGGTTTCGATTTTCTGGTATAGAAAATTTCTTCCAAATTAGTTAATTCTTGGTATAGTAACATATTATCGTACTCCTAAGGTTTAATTGCATCAGACAGTTCGAGTTTTTCTAAGTTGTTTTTGGGCGAAATCATAGCTCCATCAATCTGCCGAGGTCTTAATGTAGAAAAATAAAGGGGGGTTCAGCATGGTTAGTTTGCTGGACGCAGAGGTTAAGCTTGATGCTCAAGTTATCCCCAAGAGAGCGAGTTTTAAATATCTTGGGTCTATTATCCAGGGTAACGGGGAGATTGACGAAGATGTCGCACTTTGCATCGGAGCGGGATGGATGAAGTGGAGGCTCGCTTCCGGTGTTTTGTGTGATAGGAATGTGCCACTAAGACTTAAGGGTAAGTTTTATCGATGGTGGTTCGACCAGCTTTGCTGGAATTGTTGGCTAGTTTGAGGCTTGTCCTTGTTTGTGTGCTCTATTTGATTTTTTGTTTGTATTGGGGTAGAGTGAATTTGGATAGGTTATCTTGTTATCTTCTCTGTTCTGTGTGAGTCCGCAATTTTATATGTTTCTGTGGTTCAATATTCCTTTTCCAACCAATTTTTCCAAGTTTGGAATCTTAATATTTACTTTGATACAAGAGACAGACTTGCATTCTTAATTTTTTTTATCATCATAATTTAAAGCTCGGATAACATAAGCTCGTGTATTCTGTGACGCATGTTAGTTGTTACTAGTTATATTCTGCTTGTGTGATTTTATGTCTGAAGTGATAACTATGGACATCAAAATGGCTATGAATTTTTGTGCTTTGATACGAATAAGGTAGTTACTTGCTATGATTAGAGGATAATTCTGCAGAATAAATCATGATTTGCCTGGGTTTTGGTCTTCTCTATTTTAATTTGTAATGAGTCATTGTCAGTGCTTTTTGATTCATTAGTGTTTATCTTTGAATTAGCTTAGTCTCTCAGGATCATTCACTTGAATCAATGGATGTTGCTATTACGATTATGATCCTTTACTGATGAAGTCTGTGTCTGTATAATCAGTGCATTGAGCCCCCTGTTCATGCATTTTTCCATGCGCGCATCTCTTTCATGTTGTTAATGTGAAATCCTTGATGTTCAGTTCAGTCTCATAGTTCTCACTCGATTCCATGTAGTTAAAACACTTGATAGCTTTCTTTGGATAATGAATTTCAACACGTTCGTTTAGGTTGCACGCCTCCATTGGACATGACTTACTAAAATTTAATTCATTTGTTTGACAATACTTTTTAAATAATTAAAGTGTGTCGTGTATTAGATGTTGGCTGCCTTCAAGTGATTCCTGAGTTTATAACCTGACCACCACTTGGTGAAGATAGAGCTGATGTTTATCAAGTTATTTTAGAAATGTTGTATTCTAGTTATTTTATGTCTTTTTTTGTTGTGTTTTTTGTCATATCTATCTCAATCTCTATTTTAGTATAGTTGATTGAAGGGGAGCCTTAGCGTAACTGGTAAAGTTGCTGCCATGTGACCTGGAGGTCACGGGTTCAAGCCGTGGAAACAGCCTCTTGCAGAAATGCAGGGTAAGGCTGCGTACAATAGACTCTTGTGGCCCGGCCCTTCCCCGGACCCCGCACATGGCGGGAGCTTAGTGTACCGGACTGCCCTCACTAATCTCAATGTACTGTTGAGATTATGAGTTCAAATTTTTATATTTGTTGTATTTTAGTACTTTATACGTATATATTCATATATTATGTCGAATATACACGGGTGGTAGCATTGTAGGGACGGGTTCAACTGAACTTTCCTTCTAACACTTCAAACCACTGCCATTTCAAGAAAATATCAAATAAATATATAGAGTAAGAAGTTGAAACAATATTGAGAGTGTTCAATAGAAATGAATTTTAGAATAAAAAAGGTCGAGGCACAAAGCTCTAGAAAAAGCGTAGACTTTGTATCTTTGCAAGAGACAGTGAATTTTACCTACATATTTATTTGGTGTCACTTTTTATTCTACGTTCACTCATACAAGTCATCTTGATTTTGTAGAAGACTAAAGAGTACAAAGGTTGATAACTGAAGGAAGGTTGGCACTACCGGCTCATCATCCATTTCGACTTTTATTTTTTAGTTCCGTCCTTGCTGCGACAGGTATATCTATATATCGTTTTTTTTAAATATATGTTTATGAAAAATATATCTTTATATAAATCATAGGACTTGCCTCATTCTTTATGTTACCTTGTTTGCCAATAACTAAATGGTTGGATTTTATTTGTGTAAATTTGAAATTTTAGTTTCACTTTGATGCTAGGAGTTAACTATTAATTTATATTTACATGTTATTCATTTCACTTTAAGTTTGAATGAAATAATAAAATAATACTATGTAATCATTAAAGTATTTAGCATAGTACTAAGTGCACTTTCTCCGGATAATATTATTGTTGCAAATTTAACTAGTCAATTGGACATGTGAGACTTCTCTTTTTGAATTTTTATTCCGCTATAAACTAGTAGATATGCTTTTGAATGTAATCAATCTAATTTTTGTTGTGAAATTTTATATTTATAGAGTCATTCATAGTTAAAATGTTGAAGGTATTACAATTATTCAAAGTAGGAACCTATAGAAGAATATCTAAATAGTTTTTTTTGTTGATATAGATGAAATTTGAACATCGTAGATGGATGTATAATAGGACTCATCCTAATCGTGCGGGATTGAGGGAGGAATTTATAGAAGGAGTTGCGGGGTTTATTGCTAAGGCGAAATCGCTAAATGATTTTCTTATTGAAGGGACAATTAGGTGCCCTTGTATTAAATGCAAGTGTGTCAAGTTATTGAGACCAGATGTAGTTGAACTTCATCTTTACAAGAATGGATTTATAGAAAATTATTATGTGTGGACTGTTCATGGAGAGAATCATGATTTTCATAATTCTTTTGGTGGTGAGGGTAGTCCCAGAGTAGAGAATAATTTTGAAAATTCTCGATTCAATGAAATGATGAGAGATGCTTTTGAGATGTTCCCAGGGGCTCAATCCGAACCAAATGATGAGGCTAAGCGCTTTTATGAACAACTAGAGGAAGCTAGTCGTCCATTGTATGAAGGCTCAATGCATTCCAAGTTGTCTGTTGCAGTTAGACTACTAACTATCAAATCCGATAGTTCTATTTCTCAAGCGGGCATGGATTCTATCATTGGGCTTATGAATGAACTAAATCCGAATAAAATTGACTTACCCAAAGATTTCTATACTGCAAAGAAATTGGTGTCCAAGTTAGGACTTTCATCAGAGAGGATTGACTGTTGTGAGAAAGGATGCATGTTATAAGGATGATGCAGCATTAGAAAATTGTAAGTTTTGTAACCAACCTCGTTATAAGGAGGTTACAAATGCTAATAAGAAGAAGGTTCCTGTGAAGGCGATGCATTACTTACCCCTTATACCAAGGTTAAAGAGGTTGTACGCATCAATGAGCTCCGCTCCTCATATGAGATGGCACTATGAACATAGAAGGCCAACCGGTGTTCTATGTCACCCGTCAGATGGAGAAGCATGGAAGCATTTTGATAGGATGTTCCCGGACTTTGCAAGTGAACCAAGAAATATTAGGTTGGGATTATGTGCTGATGGATTCACTCCATTTGCAGTCTCCGCCGCACCATATTCATGTTGGCCAGTGTTTGTTACGCCGTATAATCTTCCTCCAGAGTTTTGTATGACAAGTCCATATTTGTTCCTAACTTGCATTATTCCAGGTCCACGCAATCCAAAAAGTTTGATTGATGTATACATGCAGCCGTTGATTGATGAGTTAAAGTTATTGTGGCATCAAGGTGTGGAAACCTATGATATATCAACTAAACAGAACTTCAGATTGCGTGCCGCTTTAATGTGGACTATAAATGATTTTCCTGCTTATGGAATGCTATCCGGGTGGTCTACTGCTGGAAAGTTAGCCTGCCCGACTTGCATGGAAGACACAAAAGCGTTCACTTTGAAACATGGAGGTAAGAACACATGGTTTGACTGTCACCGTCGTTTCTTGCCAATGGATCATGAATTTAGGAGAAACACTAGTGCATTTATGAAGAATCAAACTGATTATGAAGAGCCACCTTCAGTCTTGTCGCCAGAAGAAATTTGGAATAGAGTTAGGGATCTACCTAAGGTAACAGAGTCTCCATTGCCTAATAAGATACCTGGTTATGGTGTTACCCATAACTGGACTAAACAAAGCATATTTTGGGAGTTACCTTATTGGAAGCATAATCTTCTAAGGCACAATCTTGACGTCATGCATATTGAGAAGAACTTTTTTGATAATTTGTTTAATACTGTGATGGATGTCAATAACAAGACAAAAGATAACTTGAAGGCCAGGATGGACTTGAAGGAATATTGTAGGCGAAGTGAGTTGTACCTTACATACCTGAACAACAAGATTCAGAAGCCCAAGGCTAGTTACACATTCACTTTGGACGAGAGAAGAGAGATTTGTCAGTGGGTTAAGAATTTGAGTATGCCGGATGGATACGCGTCAAACATATCTAGGTGTGTTGACATGAAAGAAGGGAAGTTGATGTCAATGCAAAGCCATGATTGTCACATTTTCATGGAATCATTGATGCCTATTACGTTCAATGCCTTGCCTGATAGAATATGGAAGCCTATCATAGAGATAAGCTTACTTTTTAAGGAGTTGTGTTCTAGCACATTGAGGATGGAGAATCTAACTTACATGGAGAGTAATATTCGCTTAACTTTAAATAAGTTGGCGAAAATTTTTCCTCTTGGTTTCTTCGATGTAATGGAGCATCTTCCAATTCACCTTGCGCAAGAGGCACGACTTGGAGGGCCAGTTCAATATAGATGGATGTATCCCTTTGAGAGATAATAAATAATTTTTAATCATTTGTCCTTTATTTATTTTAATTAATATTGTTCCGTCTAAGAAATCGTAATATGCAGGATTATTGGCAAATGTAAGCGGACCGTGAAAAATAGATCGAGAATTGAGGGATCGATATGTGAGGCATATCTGGCTAAAGAAACTTCTTATTTTTGTTCATATTATTTTGAACACGATGTGCCATGTTTGAGAAATAGACCCAATCGACATGACGATGGAGGAAGTAATGATCCTTCAGCACCACCATTTTCCATATTCAATCAACCAGGAAAAGGTGGTCCAAAAAGTAGTTCAAAGCGAATCTTGACTGAGAAGGAACTACAATCAGCTACAACACATGTACTATTAAATTGCCCGAGGTCCAACCTTATTATAGGTAAATATATATTTATATTACCAAGTTCCATACAAGATTTATCCTTGTTTTAACTAATGAATATTATAATTGTATCGGACAGTTACTTTGTGGGTACATATGGGCAGAATGCTGTTTATCCTAGGTTTTCAAAGTGGTTTAGAGAATTTGTAAGTGTTACTTAATATTTATCATGGTTTTTGTTAGTTGCAAATTAATTACATATAATTTAAAATTCTAAATTTTCTCTAATTCTATATAGGTTCATAATCCAGCTAATGGCATACGTGATCAATTTCTGCATGATATAGCTTGGGGACCTGATCCTAGAGTTAGAAAGATGTCTAGGTATTGTGTTAATGGGTACAAGTTCCATACAAAAGAATGGTCTAAGGGCAAGAAAACCAATAATAGTGGGGTGTGGGTGAAAGGTGAGGGGGGTGTTGATTATTATGGTGTGATTCAAGAGATTTTAGAACTCGAGTACAGTGTTGGTTGGCCAAAGAAAAAGTTGGTACTCTTTTGGTGCAAGTGGTATGATCCAGCACCAAATAGAGGTACGAAGGTGCACCCCCAGTACAAAATAATTGAAATTAAGCACACGAGGGATTATCCATTCTATGATCCATTTATCATTGCACAAAATGTAAAACAAGTGTATTACACTCCTTATCCTTTGTGCAAGAATAAGTCCTCATGGAGGGTGGTTATTAAAACAAAACCCGTGGGTAGAGTGGAAGTCGAGGATGTTTTGGATGTAGCGTACCAAAATGACATTTCAACTGTTGAAGCATTGGTAGATGATGAATTAGCAGGTGAATTACACCATAGCGAAGGCATCTATGAAGAATTTGATATTTCTGTCCTTAGATCAAATTTAAATGATGATGGGGAAGGAACATCCGGGGCAAATGAGGAGGAAGACCCAGCCAATTAATATGAAACAAGCGATGAGGAAGAATTACCTGATGGAGATGAAACAAGCGATGGAGAAGAATTTCTTGATGACAATGGAACAAGCGATGAGGAAGAATCTAATAATGAATATGAATCAAGTGAAGATGATTGACTTGTTGGGTTTTTATTATCTCTTTAAATTTTATATTTTTCCTTAGTTATCTAATATGTTGAAGAATTATTTTATGTTTTTATTAGGTCGTTAGGTTTTATGTTATTCCTTAATCATATAATTTGTTGAAAATTACTTTATGTGTTTATTATTTCTTTAATTTTTATGTTTTTTCTTAATCATCTAATTTGTTGAGGAATTACTTTATGTTTTTATTATTCTTTAGGATTTTTATGTTTTTTCTTAATCTTCTAATATGTTGAAGATTTTATCTCTTTATGTTTTTATATTTTTTCCTAATCATCTAATTCTTTATGTTTTTGTATTATTTCTTATACATCTAATATGTTGAATATTTGCTTTATGTTTTTTTACTATGGTTATATTACGTAGATGGCATCTGGGGGTAGCGATCGTTGACATCGTAAGGGTAAGGGGACTCAATTACAATCTCCAACTGCAGGTCACTCTCCTCCACATATGGGGCCTCCTCCTACTTTTCCTCCTCAGTCAACTTCGTTGCCACCTACATTTTGTATGCCCCCACCTAGGCCTGTCCACATTTCTGTATCTTCAGCTGGCCCGAACTCTGGCTCTAACCTTAATTTTATTCCCACACCAAATGTAACTTCTTCTCCCGATTTTCATATTAGTCAACAAGGTAGCTCCTCAGCACTGCCTACTTCATCGACTCCAGCTGCATCTCCGACATCAAGCACACCTAGCGTATCTAGGCTAAATATTGGAGTCTCTGGCACACCAACATCACCATCCATTGGTAGTGCTACACCAGCAGCTTCTCGGGGTCGAAGTGGTAAAATGACTCCACAATATGATGCATTTGGTAGGCTGATTATCGTTCCGGATGAGAAAGATGGGTAAGTAATCCTTATGTTTATTTTTATTCTGTTGAATATACATTTTACATATGTTAATTTTAATGCAGGTTTTTCCCTTCATTTGCTGCCGCGCATATGGTTACTATCACGACCCAATTCCCGAACCCGGCCGTGATGGCACCTCTCGTGAAGACAAGGCTAGCCAGAACAACGCAAATACCTCTTTTTAAACAATTAATTAACACTAAAAAATCTAAAACATGTTTAAGATAGCCATAAATGCGGAAACAACGATAATAACCAGGGAAACCATCCCGATACAGCCCAAACCGGGGTGTCACAAGTCATGAGCTACTACAGAGTTTGCTATATGTCTACAAAGTATGAAATCCGATACAATAGTCCGAAGAAAACATAAATGATAGAGGATAGGGGAGACAAGGGGCTACGGACGTCAACAACTACCTCGTAACTCCAAATCGCTGCCTGGTCTGGAAGGAATTAGCACTCAGGTGCGGACTCTGCTATGCCTGAATCTGCACACATGGTGCAGGGAGTAATGTGAGTACTTCCACCCAGTGAGAAATAATGATAAATAATGACTGAAAGCATGGAACACATAAAGGCACAAAGCAATTCTATATCAGGCATGTAAATCACTTAAAGCAGTAAAACCATGAAGAATCAAATGAAATCTCCTTTTAAAAACAGGTAAATCATCAAGTAAATAGTGAGTAATAATCTTCCCCTCGGGCCCAGTATCAATCGCTCAGAACAGTCTCAGCCGCTCGGGCTCAGTATCAGTCACTCAGTATAGTATCAGCTCCTCGGGCTCACTCTCAGATCATATGGGTACCCGCGCTCACTGTGGGTGTGCAGACTCCGAAGGGGCCCCTTACGGCCCAAGCGCTATATCAAGCCACCTCGTGGCATCATCACTCGGCACTAGGCCTCACATCACTCGGCCTCCCATCACTCAAGCCACCTCGTGGCATATAAAGCATCTCATATCACTCAGCATATCCTCACATATGGCCCTCGACCTCACTTAGTCCAGAAATCATCACAAGCCCCTCGGGCATCAGTAAAATAGTAGTGCTCAGTCCAAACAACATTGGAAATATCATTTAAGTCTTAAATTCAATTAAAAGTGGTTGAGTTTGTAAAACAGTATCAATCAATAGGATTGAGTTCAAGTAATATATCAAAATAGTGAGGAAACAATGATAAAAGTCCACGAAGGATTCAAGTAGTTGGCATGAAGCCCAAAATATGACAATAAGCCCAAATCATGTTGATAATAAAGACATTTCAGTCAAATACGCGGTAAAACATAAATCGGGACGGACCAAGTCACAATCCCCAATAGTAAACAATCCCGCACTCGTCATTAAGCGCGTGTTTCACCTCAATATAGCACTACATTGTGCAATCCGGGGTTTCAAACCCTCAGGATATCATTTACTATCATTACTTACCTCAAGCCGGCCAATTCTCTAGCTCGCTATGCCCTTGCCTCTCAAATCGGCCTCCTCGCGCGTCGAATCTGACCAAAACCACAACGAATACGTCACAATAGGCTAAGGGAACATAACCTAATCGAAAAGAATCGAAAAATAGCAAAAATCTCGAAATTGGCAAAACCCGAGCCCTGGGCCCACTTCTCGAAACTCAGAAATTTTCACATCAACGGGTTCCTTATCTCGCCACGAGTCTATACATATCAAGAACTCCCAAATCCGAGCTCAAATGACCCATCACAACCCAATTTGAAATATCAAAACTCAAGCCCTAGTTCTTCCCACTTTTTTTGTTAAATTTTCAGAAATTTCTAGGTTGATTCTACAATTAAATCATGTTTTTAGATCATAGGACACACCTCCAATCAATCCCAATCGAAACCCTCTTCAATTACCGTCCAAAAGCTCTCAAGGATGCTCAAGAATGGTGAAAATTAACTTAGCCTCGCGGAACAAAAAAAAATGATTTAAAACCCCTTCTGCCCAGTCATTACCACATCTGCGGTCAAATCTCACTTCTGCGACTTCCGCTTCTGCGTTCAACGTTCCGCTTCTGCGGAGATTCACTTAAGCCCAGAACCGCTTATGCGGTCGAAATTCGCATTTGCGGCTTCCGCTTCTGCGGACCAAGCTCCGCTTCTGCGGAAACAGCTCCCCAAGCCAATTTTTTTCGCACTTGCGACCTCCTGCCCGCATCTGCGAGGCCGCACCTGCGGTCCCTTTTCCGCAGGTGCGGAAATACCAGCAACAACAATCTTCTGCAATAACACAAGTCCAAAACTCATCCCGATAGCTATCCGTAATCACCCTGAGGCCCCCGGGACCTCAACCAAAAGTTTCAACGCATCCTAAAACATCATTCAAACTTGCTCCAATCATCAAAACACCTCAAACAACACCAAAACCATCAAATTACATCGGATTCAAGCCTAAGTTCTTCTAAAACTTCCGAAACTCGCATTTGATAAAAAACCCAACCAAATCACCTCCGAATGACCTGAAATTTTACGCTCACATTCCAAATCACCTAAAGAAACTACAGCAACTCTCGGAATTTCATTCCGACCCTCGGATCAAAATCTCACCTATCAACCGGAAAACGCCAAAATACTAACTTCGCCAATTCAAGCCTAATTCTACACCGGACCTCCAAATTCACTTCCGGTCACACTCCTAAGTCACAAATTATCCCCCGAAACTAATCGAATCATTGGAATCCATATCCGAGCCCTCTAACTCATAAGTCAACATCTGGTTGACTTTCCAAACCAAACCTTCCTTAAAGTGACTAAGTGTCTCATTTCCTACCAAAACCTCTCCGAACCAACTCGATCACATAAGATACGGATAATGAAGCATAAAGAAGCTGAAAATGGGGGAAACGAAGCGGTAACTCATGAGACGACGGGTCAGGTCGTCACATCCTCCCTAACTAAAACAAACGCTCGTCCTCGAGCGGGTCAAGAAACATACCTGGAGCCTCAAACAGGTGAGGGTATCGGCTCCGCATCTCCCGCTCGGTCTCCCAAGTAGCCTCCTCCACGGGCCGACCTCTCCACTGCACTTTTACCGAAGCTATTTTCTTTGATCTCAACTTTCGAACCTAACGACCCAAAATAGCCACTGGCTCCACATCATAGGTCAAATCATCATCCAACTGAACCGTGCTGAAGTCCAATACATGGGACGGGTCCCCAACATACTTCCGGAGCATAGAAACATGAAACACCGGATGCACGCCTGACAAGCTGGGTGGCAAGGCAAGCATGTAGGCCACCTCTCCAACCCTCCTAAGTACCTCAAAAGGCCCAATAAATCGCGGACTCAACTTCCTTTCTTTCCAAATCGCATAACACCCTTCATGGGCGAAACCTTCAACAAGACCTTCTCACCAACCATATAAGACACATCTCGAACCTTCCGGTCCGCATAACTCTTCTGACGCGACTGCGCTGTACGTAGCCTCTCCTGAATCAGCTTCACCTTCTCTAAGGCATCCTGAACCAAATCTGTCCCCAATAGTCTAGCCTCGCCGGGCTCGAACCAACCAACTGGAGATCTACACCGCCTCCCATACAACACCTCATACGGAGCCATCTGAATGCTCGACTGATTACTGTTGTTGTAGGCAAACTCTGCAAGCGGCAAAAACTCATCCCAATAACCTCCAAAATCAATAACACAGGCACGTAACATGTCCTCCAATATCTGAATAGTACGCTCGGACTGCCCGTCCGTCTGAGGATGAAATGCTGTGCTCAACTCCACCTGTGTACCCAACTCTCGCTCAAAAGTCCTCCAGAACTGAGAAGTAAACTGAGTACCTCTATCTGAGATGATAGACACCGGAACACCATGCCGGAATAGGTAGTGCATACCGGAATAAAGTGCGTGGACTTGGTCAGCCGATCCACAATCACCCAAATCGAATCGAACTTCTTCAAAGTCCGGGGAAGACCACTCATAAAATCCATAGTGACCCTCTCCCACTTCCACTCGGGAATAATCA